TTAAACAATTAAGGCAACCAGAATTTATTACAGTGTAGCTCGATACGTGTGTTGACGGACTTGAGACGCAGAGCCGAGTTGACCGCGACAACGGAGTTTGAGTCTGGGGAAGAACGGTTCCAGAAAGCAAGTAAGACAAAAACAAAAGGCAAAAATAAAATAAACAAGTAAATAACACATGGTAAAATCTAATAAAATCTGAAATCGTGGTAAATATCAGGGGGCTTTTCTTTTTCTGGATTGCTTTTGAAAACACTGTGGTTGGGTTTAGGAAAGGGGGTGGGTGGGTCAGTCTGTGCTTTTTAAAACATTATTGGTTGGGTTTAGGGAAGAAGGAGGGTGGGGGATCGGTTAGTTGGTCAGTCAGTCAGTCAGTCAACATCGGCCTATGGTGGATTTTTGCAAGACCAGCAGGTACGAATGGCACTCGCTAGTAAAAATTTGAGAACTGAAAAAGCGTACACAGCAACTTCTGATGGATTTGCAAAAACTGCAACAAAAAAAACATAGCTCCTGGTATGTATTTTGCTCTCTCCATATATGTGTATAAAGGTACGTAATCAGAATGAGCCTGGGTTGATAAATGCTGTTTTAGCCATATACACCACTGTAATACAAAAATCTCAAAGCCCTAAGTGTATTAAAGGAGACCTTAATAGTTAATATGAATTTGTATCCGCTTGTACACTACATATTTGCTTAACATCTGCATCATGGCGTTGACATAAAGCTTACATTAAAGCTGTTATACAAACACATTTGGCGTGTCATATATTTTTTCATTTTGTGCGCATACACCTCAGGCTAAAACTCAGAATAAGAGTAAACAGGCCTGTGCGGAAACCTTACAAATGTCAACAAGAGGACGCACTCACGTATAATGAGTTCTCCGCTTGCATGGCTCTATGCTAATTCAGCACAACCTTTAAAACCAAACAGCTGCGTGTGAGTCTGCTTTTGGTTATGTTTCCTTTCAAAAATCCGTCCTCTGAGAGCGAACTCTACCTCAAACTTTGACATCATGTCAGGGAGGCTAATGAACTGTGTAGTATCTCTTCATGCGTGGCGACAGGTGTCTGTCAAGCCAACGCGCAACTCAAAATGTTTGATCCTCGATTGAACAAAGTGGATCACTGTCTATTTAATAATTTTATTTAGTTCATTTGCACCAAACGAAGGTGTTTTTTATGGCACATGCACTGTGAAAGCACATATCATGTTGTGTTTCATGTTTTTCAATGCATTTTCTCCCTCTCTCGCAACTGAAAACACCCTCTGGAGAGCGCGGGGCATGATGCTCCGAGTGAAGAGGAGGCTCTTTGTTGTTGTCTCAAAGATAGCTGTGGCTCTCCGATCCCTCCCTTGAAACTACTATCAAATTATTCCACAGGCCCCTTGAGCATCACCCCACAGACCCCTCACATATTTGTGGATATATATAAAGGTTTTGTTGTTTGGTAGCATTCTGAAACTTCACACTCATAACTGTAGGCTTTTTGTCTCGTAGTTGGTTTTTAACTCTCTTTATCTCTCTCGCAAAGACACACTGATGCACAACTTGCAATAACATTCCATTAGTTAATGTATTTAACGTTACATAATCATGGTTAATGTTCATTTCAACATTTAATAATGCATTATTATAAGCTAAAGACTAGTTAATGTGACTACCATTGTGACTAAAAATTTATTTTTGTATTAAATAATGTTAACAAAGATGAATCAATACTGTAATAGATGTATTGTTTGTTTGCGTTAACTAACATTATTGGTACTTTAGTTGCGCATCGATGGATTTGCTCTTTAGTGTTTGGACTTTCAGCAGTGAAAATTAAACCAAACTGAACTAAACTACTAAACTAAACTTCTACTAGCTAAACAAACTACTAATTAGCTGTGTATTAATTGCTAGTTATCTATTGGGTATGCAGCAAAAGATTATACTTTATAACCACTAATGAACAGTTAATATCTTAATAGTAGGCATGTAATAAGCCAGTAGTTAATAGAATGAATTGTGACCTGTCACTTTATCTAACAGAGACTTAATTGTAAGTGTTACATAATTTTAGCAAAAAAAGAGATGTTTTTATTAGCAGATTGTGTACAACATTTATGAGCTGCGCATCAATTTCTTAGTACACTAGAGTTATCTTTTACCTTGAAGGCTCTGATATACATCAGTTTTGTCCTTCAACTGAGGTAAAAAAAAAATAAGTTGAAATAGGTTACCTTTGCTGTGGTTTATCCCAATGCTGCCCATGTTGTTGGCAACAGTTTATGAATATTTTAAATATTGTGCACTTTCTTCTCAAAACACACCACAAAAATGACAGCATAAGAACAAAACAGCTAGAAGCGCATCTGATCGAGGTGGATGTGTTTGCTCAAGTTCTGCAATTTGACAATCAAGTTGCATCATGTTTACTTGTGTTTACCTTTACATTACATAACGAAAGCAGTTTTACAGGATTATTTACGGTGTTGCTTTCAATAAATTCAAATTTAACTGCTACTTGAGCTCTGCAGGTTGTTTATCTATTTATTTCACCATGACAGACTGAGCAGAAGAAATGAACAACAGATTTCCTCATCAAGAGAGGCGGAGCCTCGGAGCCACATCTATATGTCATGCATTCTTCATGGAACAATAATAACTAGCCAGGAAAATAGAAAAGTTGTTTTCGAGTTCCTGAAATAAACACCAGAGGAACTTTGTTTTGGTTGTATTTCATACAAAATGTCTTCACACCAGTTTGTTCTTTGATTTTGCTTGAATATTGGGCCTTGAACAAAAGCAAACTCCCAACTATTTCACCTCTACTGTGAATAATTAGCATGTTGTTATGCTAACAATTCAGCTCTCGACTACTATAATATTTAATACTGAACCTAGAAAAGCTTATTTGTTTAAATGCAAAGTTTGTCATGATTTATTTATGGTCAAACTCAATGGGGTGTGATGTATAGGATTCTTTGTGATCCATTAGCATTTGCTAGGCTAACAATACATTTGTCTAGTCTACTCTACTACTTCTCTAATCATTTGTTAAAGTTCACCCGAAAAGAAAATGTTGTCTTCTTAACTTATTCAAAATCAAACTTAGTTGCACAGTGATTTTTTTTTTTTTCGTTTTTGGGAGGGGGGGTTGACATTATGTAGTTAAGCTAAAAATGAAGCTTTCTTTGATATTTAACAATGTATTTTGGCCTAATTTTGTTTTCATACTGTGGCCAATAGAGCTTAACACATGCAAAACAAAAAAACACCAGCAAATTAAGGAAGAATTTACATCCGTTTGACAGCACATGTGCTGCAAATCCTCACAGTGCATACACATTAAAAAAGCTGCATTTTCCCACAACACAAACAAATTAATAAAACACGCTGCATTTTCTCACAACACAAAAACAACGGAACACAATAGCAATGTTTTAAAGGGATCCAAAAATGTATCGGACGCCGCTGTGCCATGACTATTGCTCAGTGAAGTTATCTTTGAAAGATGAGTTATTTCGTTTTTTTATTTTAATATCTCGATTTCCTTGTCTTTAGTATTCACTAGCCTAAATAGCCATAACCTGAATAGTTTGGTCCATCAAATTTTAGGGTCTCCTTGAAACATTTATCTTGTGTTCTGTGCTACTTCAAAGTGTTGTGAGAAAATGCGGTCAGCACGTTGGCGCAGTGGGTAGTTCACTCGTCTTACAGCAAGTTTGTCACTGGTTTGAACTGGCTGGGTCAGTTGGCATTTCTGTGTGGAGTTCGCATGTTCTCCCCGTGTTTGCGTGGGTTTTTTCCGGGTGTTCCGGTTTCCCCCACAGATCCTAAGACATGTGTTAGGTGAATTGGGTACGCTAAATTGTCTGTAGTGTATGTGAGTGAGTGAGAGTATATGGATGTTTCCCAGTGATGGGTTACAGCTGAAAGGTCATCTGCTGCGTAAAACATATGCTGGATATCTTGACGGTTCATTCCACTGTGGCGACCCCTGATTAATAAAGAGACTGAGCCAAAAAGAAAATGAAAGAATGAATGTGAGAAAATTGTTTGCGTTATGAGAAAATGCAGCACATTTTTTAAATATGTGTTTGCGTTGAGATAATATGCAGCATGTGTGCTGTCAAAAAAATGATGATTTTTTTTCTCTCAATTTGCTGGCGTTTTTGTAATTAGACGTGTTTTCTTAAATTGTAGCACGGTCACCATATTTTAAAGGAATTTGCTTTTTTAGTATCTCGTCCTAAAATTCCAGACACAAACTCCAAACAAATATAATTTCAAAATGCTTCATGGCAGTTTGTCCTAAAATGTCCTAAAGGTTAAATCATTTTATGCTTTAGGAATTTTAAATTCATATTGCATAATCTGAAAGCATAAACTCTCCCTAGGCAACATTTGACAACATAATATTTTCCATAATCTCTTCCATAAGACTTTAACCACATCCTGCAAATAAATAAATAATAAATAAATTAAAAAACCTTTGCCTTTTTTCTCCCCTGGACTTCTCTAAATGTCTGAAACCTCATTTTACACACACTTCTAATGATTATCTGTCATTTCATGATGAATTGCTTCTGATATTTCTCATTTGTAAGTTGCTTTGAATAGAGACATCAGTTTTCTAATTATATTTGAAAGTACTTCAAATAAAAAAGTACAAATATAGATTAAAAAACATTGATCTAATACTTTTGATTTCATATTACTTTATATATTAGTTATAATAAGATACCATTTTAGAAGTAAAAATCAATCTGTGCTTAAGTGTACAAGTATGAAGGAGATGGAAAGCCTGATATGCTGGAGATAAAATTAATATCATCCCCATCATCACTCAGTCAAATTAATAATTGATTAGGCAAACTCTAGACGCCAGGGAAACGTGATTTTCCTAGAGGCCCCCGCGGTGACAGATGGCAAACCACCGGATTCCAGGCTCCGCCCATCACCCTTACAAACCCCGCCCATCACTGTGACATCAGCAGCGCTCTTGGCCCCGCCCGGATGCGATGCGAGACGCGTTTTTGCCCAAGAGCCACAAAGGAGCACAAAGTGAAGTGAGCAACTCAACACTACAACTGCGGGGCTGCTTTGGATAAACATATCAGGAATGCAGAGGTGAGTTCATGCTATCCTTGCGCTTTTGTGTCTGTTCTTAATCCTCTAGGCTGCTTTAGAAAGGACTCGGATTATATTTGGAAACCTCCGAAATGTTTGTGTTACAGTGTCGGTGTCAAGTAGAACATGCGTTTCTTCTAACATTTCATCAGCTTCCACAGCACTGAAGTTGTGGGGATATCAGGTGAATTCAATTGTTAAATGAATTAACTTGAAAGGGTAGATTATTAAACCGTCGTGAATAATGTATACGGTTTTAAAATAGTACAAATAAACATGTTTTAGAACTAAGAATGATGCATTTAGTGACTGAATGGACTTGCTTATTGGGAATTTATTGTCTTTTGATAGATTAGAGGTTTTTATAATTCTCTTTGCGAACCGTCACTTATTTTTTTGAGCGTGTAAATGAATAGATGTAGCCTATTCATGACTGTAATACGATATAAAATGTCTGTCTTTTTGAAAATTTATAGTGGTTTGTCTAAGTGTGTGTCCCTTAAAGGGATAGTTCACTCGAAAAATGAACCTTTGCTGTTAATTTAATCACTCGCAGGACTACCAAGATTGTTTTTCATTGAGGTAAAGTTGGTTTTATATTCGCATATTCAGACGTCCTCCTCAATAATATAATTCCAGAAAAGTGTTTATAACCAAATTTAAACAGGGAAATCTCATTAGCAGGCGATGACCATCAGAAGACATTGTTCATAGTGATAATGTTTTTAAGTTGTACTTTTATGCTATTTCAGACCAAATATTCAAATCAGTGTGGTAAACACCACTTTTTTCACTGTTTAAAAATGAACGAATAATTATATATATATATATATATATATATATATATATATATATATATAACCATCTTTACCTCAGTCTGTTTTTCTTTAATAAAAAAGTAACAAAGATTATTATTATTTTTTTTAAAGCTAGAACTGTTAAGCTTTGGCAATTCGTAAAACGTTATTCTATGGCTAACGCCACATTGAGAGTGAAAAAACGCTATACAGGCGACACAAATTTAATACTGCTGGATCCTAACTGTACAGTGAGGTCTTGTAAGAAAAGCTGCTTCTTATTTACAACAACTAAACAAAACAACTCAGAAAGTAATACTACCTTCACATTTTTTTTTATTTTTTGCTGTAGAAGCAATTCTGTGCACATGTCAACCTTGCCATGAAAAAAAAAAAGTTTTCACCAAAATATGGAAACTGTTTAAAAGTTTTTTGTGTCGGTGTAGGTTTGTATTTTACAGTACACTGAAAAAAAAATCATAATTTAATGGTCTATGTTTTGCAGCTGGGGTGGCAGAACAAAGCAGCAAAATAACCGCCGTTAAATTACAGAAATTTACCATAAAATAACGGACATTAAATGACAGGATATATACATAAAATTTTAATTTCTGGTAAATTTCTGTAATTCGACCTCCGTTATTTTACAGTAAATTTCTGTAATTTAATGCACCTCAGCTGCTGGAAATAAACCGTGAAATTACAGATTTTTTTTACAGTGTACTTTAGAAATATAACAAACGATTACATTTGATTTGATTTACCAAAGTCACACAAGTGGCAATTTCCCATCGGTCACATCCATAACGGAGAGATGTCACATCCATAATGACATTTTTTCCCTCATAAATACAAAAATGTCAAATATAAAATAAAATAAAATAAATCCGTTTTTTTCTATAGAGAGACATATTTTATCCTTTTGATCAGCATTATTACTTTTGGGTTGTGCAGTTTAATTCACAGAATTTCTACAATGTATGTTGTATACTGCATATCCATTTTTTGGTCACATCCTTGCGCATATCTATTTTCCTCATATAAAGTACAAAACATGTTTACAGATTGATATTTTTCTGGTCCCTTAACTCTGTGGTCAGTTGTTCTGGAAAATATAAACAGCTATTTCAATGTAATGTGAACATACTTTCTATGTGAACTTTTATGTTTTGAGTTTTTACTGCAAATCTCGCATCCATGAATCTGAAATTGCTTATACATCATTATTGTTGTTGTCGAGCGTGTTGCAGATTAAAGATGTAAATAATGTTCAGGATCTTGCACAGACTGATCATTTACACCAAAAAGTCCATAATGTATTATCAGGTTTTTTTTTTTTTAGCTGTACTTTTTAACAATGTTATAAACAATCACCGGCCATGGCATAAGCTATTTAAAGTTCTACTGAAGAACAAATAAGGTCACCAACATCTTGGATGACCTGTGGGTGAATAAATTAAGCTTCCATTTTCAGTTTTTAGCTACACAAACTGCAAATAATACATTTTTGCTTATAGTTTTTGTCTTTTTCATTCTTTCATTAATTTTCTTGTCGGCTTAGTCCCTTTATTAATCCGGGGTCGCCACAGCGGAATGAACCGCCAACTTATCCAGCACGTTTTTACGCAGCGGATGCCCTGTCAGCCGCAACCCATCACTGGGAAAGTTTTTGTCTTTTTTTCTAATCAAATAAATAGTAAAACAATCTAAAAAAAGTTTATTTTTCTTACCTCACTGGCATCATATTTTAGTTGTTTAAAGGAAGAAATTACTTAATTTTAACAAGTTTTTTTTTTCTTAAAATGACAAAATTATTCGGTTTCTAGAAAATCAATTCAACCGCATGAACAGGACATGCAGAGAATTGAAATAGGATTACTCTCAGACCCTAGGTGCCTAACATAATACAAAAAATAGAATTTCAAAAAGCGATTGCAACAAATACAATTACTCACAAAATATAATCTAAATAAATAAGTATAAATACAAATTTGTAAACAAAATGCTTATTGTTTTAGGATTTTTTTTTTTTTTTAGATGTTCGCATTGGAAACAAGACAACCTAAAATAAGTAAAGCCTGTTTTTTTTTGGAAGTACGCTATAGTTAAAAGTTGGCAAAAAGTCTAATTAACCTTACGGAATTATTAATACACACTGAGAATGTCAAACTACTATTCGTTTCTACTGAAAATGCAATGTATTTAATAACAATGGTTAATTTTAAGTCACTAAACTGCTGTAACTATGGTCACCATGGTGCGTTTTCATTAGGAATGACTTGTTTTCGCTTGACAGTTGGTTATTTGTTACCGTGGTTATCAGTGTTTGATAGTCGCGACCACCCCGGTGGTTATTTGAAACAGTGAGGAGGACATCCTATACATTCCCCCTCCCTCTGCACTCCCATTCCCAGCCGTCTATCGCCTCTCCTCGTCCTCCCTCCCTTTCCCACATTCCTTTCAGACTTTGAATGGAACCGGATTGACCTGTGGCATAACTCTGTCTCGTATTTTTTTTTCCCCCATACAAGACCTCAGCCTCCCCCTGTTATATTAACAATTTATTTTCAAGTTACGTGGTGTATTAAATATGCATGGCGTGGAGAACAAATGGCTGCTGCTACTTTACATCCCCCGCTGAAAAAAAGAAAGGTTGGTTTGTAATGGTTTTGATGGTTACATTGGAAATTACATTGGATTTAATGGAAGCTATAATGATTTCTTAAGGTTTCTACAGATCATTTCTTGTCTTCTGGTTGTATGTTAAAAGCAATAAATCTTGATGGAATATGTCCCAAATATACTGACTTTAATGGTTAGAATTTGATGGGTTGTAATGCTTTTAATGGTGGTTATAGTGGATTGTGTTCTGATGTTTTAGTGTTCTTTTTGCAGCATATATCTGTGTGTGTTCGTGTTCACTTGTGTATTTTGAATAACAAGGCTGTCACTTCCCTATTATAATGCTTTTATCATTGAATATAACAGTGGCTTCTTTTTCTAAGCTTGTTTGCAGTGAAACCACTTTTGTTGAGTCACAATGCGTTTGATTTTTATTATTTTTTTCTCAGGGAATGTTCCAGATTCAATATAAAAGTGAACTCTGTCAACAACCTGCTGTTTGTAACCCCAGAGAAAGGTCTTGTTTGATTTTTGGATGTGCTTTTTGGTTTGTAAAAATAAACAAATGATGCTTGTACAGTCAGTAACATACTTGTAGTGTAACTAAAGATTTGCTACAAAGTGATAAGCCATGAGTTTCCTGAGAGTAAAATAATCATTTTTGTGCTACATTTTATTTAGTTAATTCCTGATGCTTCATCAGATGTGTATAAAATCATCTGTTTCCATCCACCTTTTTAACGCACACATTAGAATATTGCATAGAAATGCTTAATGAAAACATCAAGATGCGCGAAAAAAAAAATGCATGAACATAACTCGACAGAATAAACTTTTTATCCGATAATCAAAAACGCACATACATTATAAAGGAAACATACTTACTGAATAAGTTCCCGAATGCACATCAAAAAAAGTCATGTGTTTATTGTTTTAACATATGATGTGGCAATAAAAATGGAAAACAATAGGTGTGTTCAAAATAAACCATGACTTCAGCTGGCATTCAACGAGATTAGCCGAGCGCAGGCGGGGACAGAGTTGAAAATGAGTCCGTGTGGTCGGATACTTCGGCGCTTGTAGTTCGCTGTAGTCAATTAAATATCAGAAGCTTTGCATAAAAAGAAAAAATATTTTCTTAATCTTATCTTATTAGCAAAATTTTCTATACATAAAGGTCAATTTTCTAACCAAAAACCTTTTTGTAAATATTTTGCTTGCTGAAATGCAGTATTCCCTTGAAATTACTTCTAACTCTTTATTGCAATAACAACAAAAGAGTTACAGTGCAAATAAAACCGAATATATTTTCTACAAATTATAGTTCACTTTCAACAAATGAATTAACTATTTGAGCTGATGTTTGGTTATTCACTAAAATATATATTATTTAAATCGCTTATGGAGCTGAATATAGTAAATGCTCTGCATAGATAAAGGTTGCAAATAAACCTATGCAATTAATATAGCCTTTATAAACAAATTATTTATCAAAAAAAAGGTGAATACTGCAGTAAAATATTTGTAGTCTTTTAATTTGCATGACACTGTATGTACAAGATAGAGATTGAATTAAAAGTT